AAACATTATTCAAGCAGTAAGAAACTGTAGTCTTTTTTTAGTGAAGGTTGGAAAATTAAAATGGCACCATTGAGAGTTGAGTTCTGCTGTAAACTGTGAGGATTTGAGGTGCTGGCTGCAGAGCATTCTAAGACTGCAAGTTTGTGTGATGCAGGCTTTTTTTCGGTTTCGCTGCAGGTTAATGCTCTTGGAAAGCCAAAAAAATGGAACCTGCAGTCCACCTTGGTAGCACCTTTTTAAATGTAAAATTTTCCAGCACCAGGTTATTGACAAAAAAATACAGTAGGAACACAAGTGGAAAAATAAATGCTCTGATTTACCATCATGACACCCTTCTTGTAGTAGAAACGATAGTTGTGACTAAAAGCAGGTTTAAACACTACAGTGATCTGCTGCTACACATTAATGTAGAAGTTGAAAGGTCGTTTGAGTACTGACATGCTAAAAGCTGAGGGTCACCTGACAACAAGCCCTGGAAGGCATGCAAGGAAGTGGAAGAAAATATGAGTATTTAAAAATAATATAATGATCTACCTCTTTTATCACTGAAAATCCAACAGATTTTTTCATTTTTTTACACATTTTATCATAAACTTCCTCCAAATCACGGGAATTGTTGTTTTGGCTGAAGAACTCCTTCACAAATTCAAAATGCTTGAAAAAACAAAACAAAAACATGGCTGCAAGAAATAAGAGGTACATGCATCAGCAAATAATTGTTGAATTCACAGCAGTGATGTACTAAATAAACATGGGCCACAGTACAATGCCTTGCAAAAATATGCATTCCTTTTATTTGTTTAACTTTTTTTGAAATTGTGCTTTTATGTGGGAAAAAGCTAAAAGTATTGTATTATTTTGACATCTAAGGAAAAATACTGGAAGAACAGAAAAATTCTCCCCATATACATTCAAATAAAACCAATTGCTTTTGGAAGTAAATATAAATCCAGCTGATCTCCGGATGTCGTAGAGGTCAGTTAGAGAACATTAGTGAACTAAAAGCTCCCATAAGGCACACCTAAACCATCAGGAAAAGAAGGAATTCATCAGAGAGCAGACAAAACGCCCATATCAACAGTTTAGATGGGAGAATCTACCGAGAGAATATATTGTATTACACTTCTGTTATATAATCCATGTAGAGGTCTTAACAAACGTATGGAAGAAATGGCCGTGAGACCAAAACAGACATGGTGGTGGTGGCACCATACTACCACTTATATGAGCTAAATATAGGGCCATCTAGGAGAAAAACATGGTAATGCCTTTAAAAGACAAAATAACATTAGACAACACTATAAATGTAGCCAGTGCTGCAACAGTTTCAATCAGATGTATTTGTGTATTAGAATGGCTAGGTCAAACCTACAAACAATTAGTTGTGAAACTGAAGCCTACTTAGTTTAAATAGTTGGAAAAAAAAAGTCTGAAAAATCTGGTAGAAACGTTCTAAAAAAATTTTTTCTTCCACCTTACAAAAACGCTGGTCTGGCGAAAAATGTGAAACTGCTTGAAGGGGTATGAATACTTTTGCAAGGCGCTTTATAAGTTGACCGGCTTGATCTGATCATCATGGTGAGCATGATGGTTTATGAAAAGAAAGTAAAGTAAGACGCTGGCATTATGTTTATACCTGCCTGACCAGGCTGGACTGAAGCACCCAAAGTAACAAGGCACAACAAGGACTGAGATAAACAACCTTACAGTTCAGAAGCTCTTGCTGTGTGTTGCTGCTATCAGGAGTTCTGGTTTGAAAATGTATCCTGAAAGAGATCTCTGTAGAGGGTTTTCTTTATGAATCTATCTGTGGTATGATGAGTATCTTCCTAAATACTGCATTCTAGTGTAAACAAAAAAAGCTTATATAAAGCTTAGATCTTTATAGCCATGTAGAATTGAAATAAAATAGGAAACACAAAAACCTCCAACATAACGCTCAGCTATTATCTGACTAATCATTGGTTACAGAATGTAGCAGAAGGGGGTTGTTTGGTAAAAATACATAAAATATACTCTATATTCCATACATTTTTGAGTTGTGCATTTCAACTCATTCTAGTCTTTAAATTAATCAAATTTCTTTTACTTCTATTTTAATGACACAGTTACACAAGCATAACTATTATGAATTATACAACAGTTACCATAAAATGAAATCGAGCCCAGTCTAATATCATATCATAAGTGGAGGTATGTTAATACTGCTGTACAGCCAAAGCCCATCTCTTATTTTGTTATTCCACCTAGACACAAACAGACAGGGAAAAAAGGATGAGTCACAGTGTATTTGCACCTGATTTGGACATGTGTCCACCTATGGAAAAATTCTGCAGTGTTAGGACTGGATGCACTGCTTATCAAGCAGCCAACTAACTAACAAACAAAGAATAAAAAAGGGCCAAAGTAAATGAAAAACATCAATGCTTCTTAGAGGAAAAAATCCACTCTGGAACTGGGAGGTATAACCCCAGCCAAGGAATTACCCAGGATGGAATACAAAAAGCAAACAACACATTTCAGACCCTAAAGTATTCGCCTGGGAATGAGAACTGCATTGAGACACCCCTGAGTCAGCTTTGTCAGTGGTTCTGGTTGTTGGTCCTGAGGAACACCTCTATTTGGCTATTGTTTTTCTTTTTTTTTCTCAGCGTAACAATATTTATTTATTAATAACTCAATATCTACCTATCAGCATGGCTGTTTCTTCACTAGGCAGATAAGCAACTCCATTGACTATAATAAAATTATACAGAACTTAAATGTTTGCATAAAGATGAGCATCAATCTGGTGTGCTGACTGCTTGCTCCCCTCTTGCTAACCCAACAGTCCTTAAATACTCAGGGCTGAAAAGTGATAGACACGGATTGGTTATTGAAACTTTTAGTCATGGCAGTGTATCTCATTGCAAGTTCTCATGTCAGGATATCTGTTATTTAAGCCTCAGCCCTGTCATTCATTCACCAGTGTTTTGCAGGGGTGTGCCAAGGCCCTGAACAGTAGAGTCGGGGAAGAGGGCGGAGCAGCAACCAAGGATGGAGCAAAACATTCAGCAAGAGAACAGCACCGTGGGAAAGGTCTATGGACGGATGAGCGTACGCCCACAACCGCACGTTATCTAATCAATCCCTGCAGAACGACCTGTCCTCATGTTCTTTTCCATCCCTGGCAAAAAAACAAAACAAAAGCCCTCTTTGACCTCTTTACCTGGGACTTACAGGGCATCTGCTTTTTTTTTTTACAGTACAATGTTAGCAGGCACACAATGCCACAGCTATGCTTAATGCTGGTAAAGCCAGGAAAGGGGGATCTCTGTGTCGTAAAGGGCTCTTGGGAAACCCCTGCTGGTTTCCATTTGTAATGTATTAATACTATGCTAAAATCATGCCCAAAACAACAACATAGAAACTACATTTAATATATGAAATCAAGTTTAAAATGCATTCATTGTTCTCTTGAATTATTCAGTAGCCCTCTGTGGGAATTTTTAGTCAAGCTCCTTTGACTTAGAAGGCATGGTTCCACGAAGACACACATACATACTATATATATATATATATATATATATATATGTTTCCTTTTTTGAGATAGGGAGAGAGGATTGTGGTTTTCCGTGGGGTATAAGTGGTCAAGAGCTCAAACAGAATCAACCAGGAGAATTTCTTAACTTTTATAATTGCTCCACAGCATTCCAGTAAGGATGGCACAGTTCTTCACAGACCCATTCAACTGGTTAATCGGGGTGAATAAATTACAAAGACAGTACTTTAAGATTTCATTTGGCTTTGTATCAACATGCCAGCAAGAGCCAGAGCAGTCACACACGGTTTTTAAGGTTATCACCTCTTGGAGGGCACACAGTTGGTAGAGAGTGCACCTTTTAAGGTTTAGGTAATGGTAGAAAAGAGGATTTTGGTAAAAAATATAATGCTGATAACTATAAATGTTTACAGTGAAGTATAATCACAGAGAAATATCTGAAATCAGTGTTTTAAATTAGCCTTTGCATCTATCAAGTGAGTACTAGTACTACATAAAGAACATTTTAATAACAAAATAATAGTAATAGGGAGGTTTTACTCTCCAGTATTCAAACGGGAATGGTGGAGGATTCCCTGAGGGCTGTCTTTGTATTCAAAAATCTGTACTTTATTTTGCATTTGTAACCTTTTACTCTTAAATAAATACCTGGATTACAAAAAAATAAGTCTATGCAATGTGCAGTCTTAAAAGAGTATTCAACTTGTGCATATTATGACACTTGTCACAATTTCCATAATGAATAATTTGAGTAATGTGCTTCTTTTCTTTGACTTATGGCTTTTATTATCAAATGGTTTCTATAAGTTTTTTGTTCTGATGCCATATTTCATAAACAATCTGTTGCTGTTTGCCTCCACTAGAGGGCAGTCTGCATCGTAAGAGAAAAGTAGTTGGAGAGCAAATTAGATTGAGGATTATTTTTGTTATTTACCATTAAGTGAATTTTCAGCTGTGTTGTGGGGTTTTTCATGAAACAAATCATGATTTGCATGAACAAAATAAATGTCTGAATATGATGATTTTGTGACTTATTGTTTTTCAAGTAAATACCTCACTGTGAATATATTTTGAATTCATTGCCTAAAGGCTTAGTAAACATTTTACTTGTCATATATCTCAATGACTCGCAAAGAAAATGGCAGTAAATGTTGGGGTGTGCAAAGACCTGGGCCCTGTGAGACTCTCCTCCATCATTCCCATCAGGCTTTGCACTAGTCCCATGTCAAAAAGACACAAAATATGCCCTTCACAAATATCCACAGGTTGAATCACCAACACAGTATAACACATAAACACATTTCAGAATGTAACATTCATATGTTATTTACACACTCATTTAGAAGCCTCCTATATCAGTATAGAGAGATTTATCTGAGACATATACATTTATATATACTTATCAAATAGAATACTGTATCTTCATAATTTTCTTTGCACTATGAGTTTTTATTTTTTATTTTTTTGTCTTCCAAAAAATAATTCTTGAATCTGTGTCTAGTTTGCTCTGTTAGGTTTTTGGTTGGCAAAAAACACGTCCAGGAAAACTGGAAAACCTTCAGATTATTGAGGAGTGATGAAGAGAGCCCGAGAAAAAATTTAATGTAACATCTGAGGAGAAATGAAAAGCATGTGCATCATTCTGAGTAAAAGGTGGAATAGAGCTGTGGGAAGGACCTTCAGAGAGAGGATTCGTACTGTAGAAGTTCATAAAGGAGAGGACCGTCCCTATACCTGATGCCCACCGCATTGGGGCTAACAAACTGCAGTACATTTATGGTCCTGCGCAGTCGTCGATCGACGAAGTGTGCGTCCCAGGCTGGGTAGCGTTTTCTGGGCATATCTATTTTAATAAGCGGGCCCTCAGGTGGGATAGGCCTGCCCGATGCATCTACAGGCTCTGTGGACCTCACTTGGAAAACTGGAAGGCATGTGTCTGTAGCTGTTTCATCTAACCCCATTTGTTCCCCTGCCACGCCTCGTGTAGGGGTAGCCTGGGAGCCACGAGGCCCCGGCGTGGGAGCCATTGGCTCAGCTTCAGGTGGTAACGGGAGGCCCCATAGCAGCTCAGCACAACAGGAGCTAGCCAACATCCTCAGTCGGGGACCCATGGGGTGTAGGACCCCATAGTAGAGAATCATACAGGCCACACCTGAGGCAAAGCACAGGAAGACGCCACAGATGGCAAAAGAGGCATAGGCGTCAGTGGCAGCTGGATCGCGGTATGCGTACCAAAGTGAGGTCAGGATAGCGTTCTCCAACAACACAATAGTGTAGTAGGCCACCATTCTGTAACGTGTCCGACCCTCACGTACATTGAACCAGCAAAATATGTAGACAACCCCCACTACCATGTTGAACAGTACTTCTTCCCATTTAGACATGCAAAAGTCAGTGCCGCCATGGATAACCCAGAAAGCCATGGCACACCAATGGAGCACCACAAAAATGCCAAAGTAGATGTGGAAAACCGAGGCAAAAAGGGCAAAGGAAAGCACCCGTGAAGAGATGGTGAAAAGGCGCCAGAACAGGTGCACCAGGGCACCTCGGTAGCTCATGCTCTTCTTGTCATCACGGGAGTCACGGAGGAGCTTGTGGTAGGAAGCTAGCACCCAGGCCAGGGACAGCAGGGAGGACATGGCAGAAAGACCTGGAAATGAAGAAAAACATGCAACGTCAAAAACAGGTAAAGTAAAAACTATTCTCACATATAAGTCAATACTGTTTTTAACATTAAACCATACATCTTGGAAGCTATTATTAGTTAGCATAAAATTTTGCTGAAAATAAACTGCTTTCTTTCACTTATGCTTTCACCTAGCTAATGCCAGCAACAGTAGACCACTATTTACTATGCTGTCAGCTACCTTTGTCTAGTTGTCTTTCTCATGTTTTTACATGTCACATGATTTCGATTTGGGATAAAAACAAATTTATCTACCGTGACAGTAAAAAAGATGTGCCCGAAAACAGTTGAAGAAGAAATGTTTTTAATATAGAGAATAAATGCCCTTTTTTTTGTTATTCTGTGTTGTTGGAAAATTTAATTTCTATTCATTTCTTCTTGATATATTGATGTATGCTATTTATTCTCTAAATAATGTTTTTTTTTCTTTTTAACTCAGTTTGTTTCAGCTTGTTTCAGTTTCAGGCCACAAAATGTCTGAGTGAGGGGTGGTTATAGACAAGACATACTTTTTCCCATAACAAAACCACATACTTTCTCAAGGTAACTGTTTAACAAAAGTGTCTGTGATTGTTTTGACTCTTCCTTTAAAGCAAAGGGAACAACTTTGCCTAAGTCAGAACAGGGCAGACCATCATGCTGTGAATGTCTTGTTCTCCTTTACTTTGCAAAATAAATAAAGTTCCAACTCTCCATTAATTTAACTGGACTGTATAGTTGAAAACTTATTTTCACACCACATCTGAAATACCAAAGGAATTTAGGATTTCGATTGGATTTTCTGGCTCCTACGCTCAGAAAACATATTTTATTTTAGTCAGAGCAATCCATCTCCTTTTTTGACATAATGTTCATTCTAAGATCATTACCCATTTCTCACACCGTCAATATCTGTTCAGTGTATTTAGTGAACAAATGCAGTTTTCCTAAAACATCTATAACAGGTGAAACACCAAAAAGTCAGAGGGACAACCCACAAATTGATAAATGAAGGAGAGTTTTCTGCAGAGCATTATAACAAATGATAACATTTATATAGGCTCAATAAAAAATCACTGATTGAGTTGCTTTTCTCTAGGAATCATATCGAACATGGAAACTAGACTTCTAAAATTAAATTCAGGAACAATAGTAAAAGATTTTGGAAACTGGACTGATGGATATTGGACAAACACCGATACCACAGATAATTTTTTTTGTTTTGTTTGATTAGCTTTTAAAAACAACATCTCTAAATAGCAACTTAAGCTTGTATATGGCATATTGTGCAAAAAGGAACAACATATTCTGACTTTCACACATTTATCAGCTTTCAAAGTACTCATAAAAACCCCTTACACTGCAGCCACTCAGCCTTGTTGCTCTGGATCATGATGCAGAGCTGAAGCACCAACTGAGGGGCGCTATGTAAGAAGGTCTCCAGTAGTCGCAGCATGTTGACATCAGCATACTCGTACATCATAGCCCAATAAAACTGCCTCTGGTTCTCCTTCTGTCTGTGACTTTGTATCCCAAGATACATGGTGCGAATGTACCTAAAGAGAAAAAGAGGTTTTAAAATTAGACACTCAAGTATTTTTGTGCCTTTTAAACACATTACAATATAAGAGAGTGGCACATTCTTCACCATAAATTAAAAATAAAAAAATCAAACCCCCTTCTCTCCTGTTCCCAGACTCTATAATGCGGCACTATAACCACAATAACTCCTGTAACGACCACTGTGCAACTATGTTATAGTTTTTATTTATTGACTGTGCAATATTCTGTGCAATATGCTGACTGTGCAATATATGTGAATTTAATAGTCATATACCACTACCTCACCATTGTTCCTTACTACACTTTAAGGTAAAAGTCAATCCACCTGTATATAAGCCATCCTGATTGTACATGTCTCCTCAAATCTCTGTGTTACTCCCTTGTATTTTTTTTTATTTCTTTATTTCTTTTATTTATTTATTTTTTATTCCTAATGCACCTTTTCCTCCTTGTTTGCACCTTCTTTACGTACTATGCCAATATGTGACCAGTGAATTTCTCCGCTGTGAGATCAATAAAGCTCATCTAATCTAATCTAATCTTATCTTAATGGGAGTTAAACTCCTATATCATAATTAAGAAAATATGAAACAAAGTTATTTGTTAATTTAAAACAAAAAATGATAATTTACATGAGCAGCTCTTTTTAAGATCTATTATACAGAAGAAAACTAAGAAGGAGAATTAGGAAATTGTAAAGAAACACTGACAACAGTTTAAATGCAAACGTTTTAATCCATATTTATGTATTGATAATGTGTATGTAGGATTTTGAAACAAATGTCCTTCTGTTAATAAACACTTGATGTGAGAGCAGTGATAACATTATAGCAGCAAGGGAAGAAATTGTCTAGGAGCAGACCACCTTTAAATTGGCAAAGGATCTGAAGTCATTCCTGCATGTGAGAAACAGATTCCATGTAGAAAAAAAAGACAACATTCTTATCAGTAGTTTAGTTCTAAGTACATATTCATGTCTGATATTTCTAGTCTGTAAAGAATTTCCTACAATTTAACTAAACATGTGAATCAAACGAAGGAGTCCAAATGTCTCCTATCTCTAAATATCTCTCCTATCCTGGCTTCTCTTCATTGGCTTCCTGTTAAATCAAGAATAGAATTTAAAATCCTCCCTCGCACATATGAAGCCTTAAATGGCCAAGCTCCATCTTATATCAGGGATATGATTGCTCCTTATGTCCCTAACAGAGCACTTCGCTCACAATTTGCAGGTTTACCAGTGGCTCCCAGAATTTCCATAAGTAGAATGGGAGGCAGAACTTTTAGTTACCAGGCTCCTCTCCTGTGGAACCAACTACCAGTTTTAGTCCGTGAGCCAGACACCCTGTCTACTTTGCCTTGCCTTGCCTTGCCTTTTAAGGGTAGGCTTAAAACTTTCCTTTTTGATAAAGCTTATAGTTAGAGTGGCTCAGGTTATCCTGAGCTATCTATATAGTTATGCTGCTATAGGCTTAGACTTCTGGAGGACATAGGCACCCCTGTTTTTATCAGTTTGCTTCATTCTATCTCTATTCTTCCACTCTGCAGAATCTGTTAGTTTAGAATTTAATGGTATGCTCTCTCTGCCTTTTCTCATAGTAGCTCAGCTCATCTGTCCGTGTTTGACGCCACCCTGGAGAGAAATATCAGCTGTGCTGCTGCCATCAACACCTTTGTTTATAGATGTTGGAGATCGGCCTGTTTTTCAAGTGTAGTCCTGTTTCTCTGACTGTGACTAGCTGCATGTGCTCTCTTCATCCTCTGACATGGGAGTTGGCTCGGAGCTCGTCTTCCTGGCTGTGTGTTTCATTGACGGGGGTCGCCTTTAACAGTTGCTTTTTGTATCTCTGCTTCTGTCTCCTTGAACTCCAGTTGGCCTCAGCAGATGGCCGCTCACACTGAGCCTGGTTTTGCTGCAGTTTTCTTCCAGTTAAAAGGGATTTTTTTCCTCTCCACTACAAGCATGCTTAGTGTGAGGGATTGCATCCAAGTAAATCAACTGGTTTCCTTAGATAGAAAACGTTGAATCAATGTGGCTTTATTATCTGGTGAACTGTAAAGTGCCACAAGATGGCATGTGTTGTGAATTGGCGCTATATAAATAAACTGAATTAAACTGAATTGAAATGTCTGCAAACAGAAAAATATCACAGCAAGTAACACCCAAACCTACATGTATGTTGGCCCTCTTGAACTGTATGTTACAAAATACATTAAATGGGAAAATTTGACTTGTAGTTTGAAAAACATCAAGTCTTGCAATGTTTTTGAAGTTAATGTGTCATGATCCTGTCCTTGGGGCACGTTTTGGTTCTGTTTTATTATTATTATTTTTTTTTTTGAGTTTTCATTTATGTCATTCTGCGTTTTCTTGGCTTTATATTCTAGTTTTCCAATTACAGTTAGCGATGCTTTCCCTGGTTGCTCTTTGTTGCCCCCTTGTGCCCTTTTCCTTTCCGCTTGGCTCCTTTCTAGCTGCTACTGTCCACTCCTGCTCCCAATTAACTGATGCCTCCCCTCTTGGTTCTGTTCCCCATATATAATTCTCCTCTGCAGTTCATCAGTGCTGCTTTCTTTTCTGCTCCTCATGTGTGTTTCTTCCTAGTGTCTCTTGTTTTTTTTGGTTTCCTGGTTATCATTTTTGGATATGTGCTTCTGTTACCATTTGTTCATTCATTAAATCAGCAAAACTAATCTCTGCCTCCTCATATCCGTATTTGGGTCTTCAACCAACTTCTACCTAACCTGACATAAAGTTTTACTTTTTATTGTTCTCAGTTTGAAGGGTGCATTTGTCTTGGGATCAAGCGCATAAAAATTGATCATGTCCGACTGCATTGGATACAGTTAATCAATTTTATCATTTTTTGGTTGTTAGTTCTCCATTAGTGTCCCAAGGAATAGGATAATTAGAAGTAGAATTAATCAAATACTCACAGATGCCATTCTTATTACCCTGCATTTTAGCACTCAGAATTAGGGGTACCCTTTTCGCACAGACAGTATTATATTTGCAAAGAGTGGTTGTGGTGTGTATAACTTGGTTGGTTAACAAATATTTATCGTATAGTATTAAATGAATGAGTTGGCAATGTGCAGCCTTATTTTAAAAAAACAACAACATATCCTTCACTGCAATATTTGGCTGCCTTGCAATATTTTGGCTTTTAACATAATATAAATCTTGGGATTGAGTCACGTGGATTTTTCCCGGGGAACTTAAAAGAGGTGTAATAAACATGTACATTACAAAAACTACAAATCCAATTTTCCATCCAGGAGTACATGGTTAACTTTTCAGGCATTTTATGTTTACTAAGCCTTTCCAATATTGCTTCAGGGCGATCAAAAATGGATCGAGGTCTGAAAAAAGTAAGTTAATTTAGATGCAAAATTTTCCTTGTTTTAGGAAAGTATGTAAAGGGATGTAAACAGAAGCATATATTTTTTTCTTTAAGGTTTCTTCACAGGAATAATGCTTCCAGAAAATTTATGATGCACTTATATGTCCAGAGGTAAAATTTGGCATTCGATGACATTTTCAGAGATACTGGAAAATGTCAGATAGAACAAGACAACTCCACTCCCTCACCAATGACTGGCCATACGCAACATCTCCATTTATGTTCAGGAGTTTCACTTGCCTTACCACAGAGATGTGTCACTCACTACTCTGTAAGGTTTCCAGTTGTTTATCTTCACAACTTCTAAAGATGTAGGCTCATGTGTGCAGGTATATTCTACATGTTCAATAGATTCTATATGATTAAAGGTAACCATCCATCAAGAAAAAAGGATATACAGTGAGAAATTTGTTTCTTCTAATGACACGCAGAATCTATTTTCCTGTAAAATTATTTACTTATCAGGCCATAAGCTTACAAACAAGACCTGCTCTCCACTTTCAAGATAGGGGTTCTGTCTACAGTCGTTATAAAGATCCTTGTCCTTTAAGATCCTTCTCTGTTAATTTTTAAGAAAATCCTGGACACAGTGTCAAGTATAACCGCTTCCACCCAACATATCCAAACATTTTGTTATCAAATATTTAAAACAAAATCAAATGCTTTGCTTTTACAGTGTTATTTTGTAATCATAAAACCCCATTCTTTCCTGGAGAATACTAGGCTTGCATTTGGAGCCACTGTTCTTATCAATCAGACAGAAACTCCTCTGAGTCCTTTACGGTTTTCAGAAAAATGTCTTTGCCATATAAAAAAAAGTTAGCATGGATGGATCTGTATGGCTCTAGTGTAAAAAAAATGCTATGAGCATTTGGTGTGACAAGAAAAATGTTGTATTAGTTTAGTACGCTCACAATTTCTTCTCAGCTCTGGTTCACTCTCAAATGGTTGATGCTATTCAGTGAACTTCAGCAACACAAAATCTACCAACATCCTTTCATCTCATTATTGTTTGATTATTACAGTGGACAGATTTACAGATAAACAATATAAGTTGTTGATAAAGTCTGTCCCTGGATTTGCTTGGCAAGCTCCATGTTAGCAACTGGAAAAAACTTGCTTGGCGTGCAATGAGATTGGCTGAAGAGGTTGAACCTCTGGAGAGGAAACTGACTGAAATGAGGGGGCAGTAAAAAAAGTAGTGTGAGGCTTTCAGCTGTTTAACCAAAGCTGCAGATAAAAACTGAACTCAGTTGACCACTCTTATAAAGTTCAAATAAAATAGGCACTTAAAATAAGCATACAACTTTTTAATATTTTTTTTATTTTTCCTATAGTATTTTTTCTTATTTAACAATGTTGTTTCTGATTAGTTAGTAAAGGAATTATTATCTCCAATTAGTTTGCATTATTGGCAACATGATTTAGTTCCATTTCATTGCTGTACAAAAGGACAAAAACAGTTGCTATAATGTTTAAGATGAAAACGTTTTTAAACCAAAAATAACTTTACAAACTATAATGTTCTCTTGTTTTTCCATACCTCAGCTATTGTGTAGTAATAAGGGTGGATAATTATAAAACAATGA